GTGATGGTGACAGTTAAAATTACATGGAAAATTGAGGAGAAATTGAAACAGTGAATTGAAAGCTCCTTAATAAAAAAAAAAAACTAGCTAGAGAATGAAGACTATAAAAATAAATTTAAAAAAAAAAAACTCATTTCAAACAGATTTGTCAAATACCAAAGTGTCTTACTTGACACCAAATCTTACTGCCTACAGTTAACTGTAAATTAAGAAAAATGTAATTCTCTCTCTCCTCTTCCCCAAAACAGTTGGACAATGGATACATTTAGACTATATGTAAAAAACACAGAAAATTCTGTTCTTAATGCCACCATAGCTCTGAGCTTATTTCCAGCAGATTTTTAAAATTACAGTGCATAGGATACAGATTGATGTTTGTGGCACAAATAAAATAAGTTAAAAACACCTATGAGACTCTCATTTTCTTTGGTCACCACGGATGCTAAGAACCAGTGTACAACAGGCATATCCATAGAGCTAAGAGTCAAAAAAGGGAGTGTGACTTGTACATACTGCAGAAGAAAGTAAAGCAAATTACAATTGCAAAACCTTTTTATCGTGTACTACTTTTTAATAAGTCCTTTGTAATTGATGTAACTCTATAGATTTTGATAGTTACCTCCAGGGATGAATTCAGCAAACTGTCTAAAAACAGTCAAAATGCTGACTGTGTGAAATCTTCAAGCAAATCCAGTTTGAAGGGAGGGGATTACACTTTATTTACTTCAAGTTGTTGTTCCCAAATTATAAAAAGTCTTTTGCAGGGCTATAGATTATTTTTAAAAATGTATCAAATAAAATTACAATAGATTTAACCCAATTGTCCATGTCTTGAATTTTGAAAAAGGCTATACAGTTTTTCCTCTTTTTTTTTTTTTTTTGGCAAAACAAACTACATTTCTTGGGTATGTCAAAGTTGACTGTGCATATTTAAGACTGTAAAACTATTTTAAAATTTGTGCTGCTCTTGTTAACACTGAATAGTAATTATAGAGGTGGAGTTGAGCTAAATTATAAAATGGGAGTTATACTTTTTCAGCAAGAAAGGTTATTCACTGAATAATCTAATATGAGACATTGGTCCTTAAAAGCAATATTGAAGTGAGTATACTGGTTCTGAAGTATTCCAACAAGATATTTTGAGATCTAAATTAAAAATTAATTTAAATATGAACTACTAAAAGTGACCTGCAAAGATAGGAAAATGAGTTATGGCCTCTTTTTGATGTAAAAGAATTCCTTAAAGTTTCAAAGAAAATGCAAATAATTTTACAAGTGCTTATATTAGAATTTCAAATTGTCTGCTCTGGAATATCTTTTGCTTAACTGGAAATAGCTACAATGAAAGTGGCACCTTGTTAATTGAGATGAAAATACTTTTACTCAAACTATTGGCATTTCTGTTGATGCATTTGTAAAATGCATGGAAGGAAAACTATTAATGTTTTACTCCTGCTGTGAAGTGCTGAGAGCACCTACTATGCCTATATGACATATCTAAGAAGTTTGACTAAGGAAAGGAATACAGGAATTGGCATTTATTTCAGAGGAAAAAGAGGAGAGAAAAAATTCTTTCAGGCATTCTTTATACATCAGAAATAAACAACAAAAGAGCATACTCACTTTTTTTTCCAGATCCCTTTTAGCTGATTATAGGTATGCCTGTGTTTGACTTTGGTATGTAGTTAATGGTATTGCTCTATAATTTCAAAGATACTCTCTAGTTTCTACAGTCCTGCAAACGTTTACAGAAATGCTTAACCACAACTGGAGTAATGTTAAAGAGTTATGAACAGGTTTGCAGGATTAGACCATAGTTTGGTTTTCTTTTAGGCCAACTGATGGGAAACAAGTTGTAGAGGTATGGCATTTTATTTACTGATTTTTTCAGCTGAATTTACTGTGTTCTATGCAGAATGGCTGTTGATGGTGGGTGTGGGGACACTGGAGACTGGGAAGGTCGCTGGAACCATGTAAAGAAGTTCCTCGAGCGATCTGGACCATTCACACACCCTGATTTCGAGCCAGGCACTCAAGTGAGAACTGTTTATTTTAAATAAAAATGTTTGTAGTGGTTTTTTACAAACTAATATAAACACATTTATTGGGGTACTATCCAGCAACGCAAGGTAACTAAAAATGCATGTACAAATGTGTGTTTAACGTGAATAAATAGAATGGTGATTTTAAAATAAAGTAAAATGTTGTAAATGGACTTCTTCATTTTCTCACTTCATTAGCTCTGATCTTTTTCAATAATATAGACATAAGTTGTACAGTGCATGTGAGGTACTTCCTGGAATTCCAGCTGGAAAATAGTAACTTTCTACTGATTTTAAGTTATTTGGGGTGCACTGAGGAATTATCGTCTAGATTAATAAGGAGTTAAGATAAAAAGTCGTCATAGTACAGTAGAACCTCAGAGTTATGAATACCTTGGGAATGGAGATTGTTCATAACTAAAATGTTTGTAACTAAGCAAAACTTGATGGTTCTTTCAAAAGTTTGCATGGGAACGTTGTCTTAATACAGCTTTGAAACTTTAGCATGCAGAAGAAAAAGGCTACTTTTAGATATCTTAATGTAAATGAAACCAGCACAGAAACAGTTTCTTTATCTTGACAAATCTTTTTTTGAACTTTCTTTTTTTTTTTTTTTTGTAGTTTATATTTAACATTAGGGATGCTAGCGAGCATTCAGTTACCCTATAAGCATATGCTAATCGAGTCAGTACTCGACAAGTTGCTTCTCGGCAGCAAGAGTGGGGAGCAGGAACTGATGCTGGGGGGAGCAGGAACTGATGCTGGGGGGAGCCAGCTTAAAAGCTGGTTTCCTCCCAGCACAGTCTCTGCAGAGGGACAGGGTAGGAAGAGGCACAGTAGAGTACCGGACACAAGCTTGGAATCAGCTGACTCATAGAATCATAAAGCTGGAAGAGACCTCAGGAGGTCATGAAGTCCAGCCCCCTACCCAAGGCAGGACCAATCCCAACTAAATCAACCCAGCCAGGGCTTTGTCAAGCCGAGACTTAAAAACCTCTAGGGATGGAGATTCCACCACCTCCCTAGTACTCATAGCCCATCCCAGTACTTCCCCACCCTCCTAGTGAAATAGTTTTTCCTAATATCCAACTTAGACCTCCTCCACTGTAACTTGAGACCATTGCTCCTTGTTCTGCCATCCGTCACTACTGTGAACAGCCTTTCTCCATCCTCTTTGGAACCTTCCTTCAGGAAGTTGAAGGCTGCTATCAAATCCCCCCTCACTCGTCTCTTCTGCAGACTAAACAAACCCAAATCTCTCAGCCTTTTCTCATAGGTAATGTGCTCCAGCCCCCTAATCATTTTGGTTGCCCTCCACTGGACCCTCTCCAGTGCATCCACATCCTTTCTATAGCAGGGGGTCCAGAACTGGACACAATACTCCATGAACCACGAGGAGTAACGGTAGTTCAAATTAGAAAACCTAATTCGAACTACCTACTCTGTGCCGCGTGTAGCCGCGGGCACGGAGTCTGAACTACCGGGGATTTAAAAATGGCAGCGCCCGGCAAGATGCAAATGAAGCCCGGGATATTTATATCCCGGGCTTCATTTGCAACTTCGATTGACTACATTAACCACCCTAGTTCGAACTAGGGTGGTAGTGTAGACATACCCCTACTTAGCCAGTTAGTCCCCAGCCTGTAACAATGCTTGGGATTCTTCCATCACAAGTGCAGGACTCTACACTTGTTGTTGAACCTCATCAGATTTCTTTTGTCCTAATCCTCTAATCTGTCTAGGTCACTCTGGACTCTATTCCTGCCCACCAGCATATTTGCCTCTTCCCCCTATCTTAGTCATATCCGCAGACTTGCTGAGGGTGCAATCCATCACCTCGTCCAGGTCAGTAATAAAGATGTTGAACAAAACCGGCCCTAGAACAAATCCTTGGAGCACTCTACTAGAAACTGACCGCTAACCTGACATCGAGCTGTTGATCACTACCCATTGGGCCCGACAGTCTAGCACGCTTTCTGTCCATTTTACAGTCCATCTATCCAATTCATACTTCCTTAACTTGCTGGCAAGAATATTGTGGGAGACCGTATCAAAAGCTTTGCTAAAGTCAAGGTATATCCTATCCACTGACTTTCCCATGTCCACAGAGCCAGTTACCTCATCATAGACGCTAATCTTCGTGTGCTCCTGGTCCCAGATTCTGCGCCTCTGCTTTTTAAATGGAGCAAGCCGCTCTTAAATTCCATATTTGAAGGAGGAATAACTATTTTAACTGTTGCTATGAGTCCATGTGTCACAATCATGTCAGTTGTGATATGCATAAGCTAGTCTTTGCACAAACAAAAAATTAAAAAGTAAATAGCAAAATGAGTGTGTGAGTTTAATTTATTTTGCTCCCTCCTCCCCACTAATTTGTGTTCCTTCATCTCTGTATCTCTTCTCCTTTTTTTCTTATGAACACTTCCTGGTCCCTTTTTAGCTGATCATTTTTTCTCCTACACTGGTTTTTCACTTTACAATAATTCTTATTTTTTACCTTTTTTTCTTCCTTTTCCTACTTCTCATTTTTATTTTGAATTCTCAGCCTGTGCTTTTGTTATCTTTTTTTAATGCATTCTGCCTTTATTTTTTTTAAAAATCTGTTTTTTTTTAAATTGCTTGGGGGGGGGGGTGCGGTGTCATTTCTCTCTCTCTTTTTTTCAGTGCATTTCACAGTTCTGGTTTATTATCAGGAATATTTCTTTCATTACTTTTTATCTTTAGGGTATTGTTCCATCAGTTTTTAGTTCAAGATAAATACTGGTGGAACAGTTCACAGAACATAATTATCCAGTGCTGCAACTATTTCACTACACTTTAGGCCAGCAATATTTTCTGTCTCTTGGTTTATTTCATTTTGTATTGTGTGGTAGCAAAACCTTTTCAACAGGAGAAACGCGCCATTGTATCTTGAAAAAAATTATTTTGGGGCTGAAAAGCATAATTAAATAGGAAAAATGAGGGAAATATTGAAATCAACAAACGTTTTATTTACTAAAGTTAAGGTTTAAGAATAGCATGGACTGAAAAATTATTGAAGTCCAATATCAAAGAAAAGTTTATTAGGTGCTTAGAAGTCGTAAGTTAATTGTATGTTTTATGATATGGTGAGAAAATACTAGTTTCCTTCTATTCAGTATATTAATATTCCTTTTTCATTCTCTACAGCCTCTCGACTTTTTGTTAAACACATGTAAAGTTCTAGTTATTGGAGCTGGAGGATTAGGATGTGAACTACTGAAAAATCTGGTAATTACTTTCATTTTCCTGTTTGTTTTTTGGGATCCTATTCCTTTACTCAGGAGACTATTCATTCCCTTTGACTGATTTATGCTCTGTCATCTCATTCTTCTGTGAAAGTGTTTGGAAGATGATAGCTTAAGTGTCCTCCTGCTTGTTTCTTTGCTCTGAAAAAGTTCTTTCGGGGATCAGAAGAGGTGTTGTATAGGGATGTTAAATTGCATTTAATCAATTAATCAACTAATCGATGGAATTTCCATTGATTAGTCGATAATGGGGGAAGTGCAGAGCTGCAGCAGTGGGAGCTAACCTCACTGCGGCTCTGCCCTTTAAATGTATTAAGTGCCACTGGGCTCTTATTACATTTAAACGGCTGAAGCGCCTCAGGGGACCAGATGGGAGCTGTAAATCAGTTGTCCAAGCTCATACCCAGTCCCTCGCTGCACCTCTGCCTCCCCTTCCCCCGTGGAGATGGTGATGGGGGGAACTTGCTTTTAAGCTGGCTCCCCCTAACACCACTTCCTTCTTTCTCTCTTGCTGCCCCCTCCCCACTCCTGGCTTCTTCCCCCACTTGTAGCATGTGGGGGGAAATGACTAGTTGAGTCCCTACTTGACTATCTGATAAGATTATGCTTATCAGATAGTCAACTAGTCACTTACATTCCTAGTGCTGTAGTTTCAAGTTACACTGAGATTCACTGTAGCAAGTGAAATAGGTGGTACAAAACACAATTTAAGTATGTTAAATACTGATGGTTCAATTTAAAATGTAACTTAATTTTCTGTAGACTTTTGAGTGGACTTAGTAACAATTGAGCATTATCTAGTGAAATAAGTTGAACAAGCAGCACTCGGATATCCACTGTTAAATTCTCACTTGCTACTGTTGCCTAAGAACACGTTCTTCTACTTTACAAAATAGATTTTAATTTATGTTTAGTGCTTTGAATACAGCATTATTAGAATTAATATTAGGGATGTAAAATCCTACTTAATTAGTTAACTGATTAAATGGGGGTGGGTGGGGATGCTATTCCAGCCTGCTGGACTGGAGCGGCCTGGCCGCCTCCACCTGCCACAGTTGCGCTGGAGCTACCCCTGCGCTGTGGGCAGGGACCGGCAGCCCAGAGCTGGGTCGGAAACGGCAAAGAGGTGGGGCGGGGGCGTGGAAGGGATGCTGGCTCAGCCACCTGCCATGTTCCCATTTAAGGGTGAGGCTAACTGGTTATCTGTTCACATCCCTATCTGTTATCTGTTCACATCCCTAGTTTATATAATATGGCTTCTTGGTGTTCATTTTTAATGTCAAATAATGTTTCATATGTGTGAAACTATTGAATATTATTCCAATTCAGACCCAAGTCTTTTGCGTGATCGTGTCAAGGCATTATCGTTAAATTACTCGATCAGCCCCACAATAATTTTGTGGACGCTACTATGCTTTAATTCCATTTTTGATTACAGAGACAGAATACTGGGCAAGATGGACCATTGGTCTGACCCAGTATGGTTGTTCTGATGATGATGGGCTGGCCTAGCACCAGGATTGGGCAGATTTTCAGTGGCAGGGAGCTTTAGCTTGCGGAGTTGTCAGATAATGAGATGTTTTTTCACTGGTGGTTGTACTTCAGTTTTGACTGTAAGCTCTTCACGGTTATTTTTCAGCTGTGATTCGAGCACAGACATAGATTTATCTTAACAGTAATGGTTATTAAAAATATTTACAATTGCAACAGAATTAACTTTTTGCATGAACATTTCTGAACCACGTAGGTGAGATATAAACATATTAAAATAATTCTGCCGAGTTTACTCTTTTGCAAAGCCTGGCTTTATTTTAAAAAATTCTATCTGCTGTGGTTGTGATGGTACCATTTGTACTGTAAATCCGCATATTGCCATCTTGTACTGCAGACAGATGGGCTAAAATGAAACTACTAAATGTGAATGGCTTATTCTTAATCGTGTTCTAAATTCAAAACATATTTTGACCACTTCTAATCTATTTAATCCAGGTTTTCCAAGTACCAGGTTTTGTAATAAGCATTTTAACCAGCAAATGACTGCACCTAAATTCAAATGTGTTACTTACAAAAATGCATGTAATATGCTGTTACTTATCACATAAGCATTATAACACTAATATTTCAGATAATTTCTCATCCTACTTTTGCAAAACCAATTTTAAAGTGAGATTTCCCTAAAGCAGTGTTTCTCAAACTGTGCTCCGCGGAGCCCCAGGGGCTCCACAAGGTTGACAAACTGGAAACATCGATAGGTACAACACACACAATCAGTGGACTGCTGGGGCTCCGCATAAATTTTTACACATGTAAAGGGCTCCAGAGCCCAAAAAGTTTGAGAACCGCTGCCCTAAAGCATGAAGTGCTAGTTTCTGTCTACTCTAGAGACCTTACAGCGACGTAGTTGTACTGCTGCATCTGTATCACTGTTAGGTATCCTTGTAGCTATGCAGAGTGGGAGACAGCCGTACTGTCAGCATAATTAAATCACAGCCAACAAGTAATGGTAGCTATGTTGGTGCTTCTTTCAGTAAAACTTATGTTAGTTGGGGCGGGAGTCAAGTTCTTTTTACACTCAAGACTAACTTAAGAGCTAGTGTAGTCAGCCCTTTGTTACTTCAGAATACACTGGCTAAATTTGTGACATCTCATACTTCTTTTGTTAGACTAACATTAGTATGTTTATTGCAGGAAAAAAGTCACCAGCTTCCATGTTGTTTATATCCATTTGCCAATCTCTGGATGCAGTTGAACAAATTTATAGATTCCTTCAGAGGCTGTTTTTTATGAATTCTTTAGCATTTGGATTGTTTTATTGGCAAGTTATAGGGAACTTGTTTCCTCTTCTAAGCTTTACTTTATTTCCACAGGCATTGTCTGGTTTTAGACAAATCCATGTTATTGACATGGATACTATAGATGTTTCTAATCTGAATAGGCAATTTTTGTTTCGGTAAGTGATATTTTCATGATTTATATGTTCTTAGAATTGTAAGCAAAAGGCATATGTATTAGATGTCGTGTCTGTTTACTCTAGTCATCAGCATTGCTAGCTAATTTTTCATATCTAGGAAATACTCATTCTCAATTAAACTGGGAGCCTGGCTCTTCACTGCTTTGCACTTTTTGTAGTGTCTTGCACCTATGCAAAGTGAATCTAAAATTTTTACTGTTCTAAATTGTTAGTGTTTTGGGTTGAAATCAATTTTCACAAGTTTCAGTGGCTAGAAAAGATGCAAGGCAATAAATGGAGATTATCATCTCTTAAAATATGTTGGTTAATATGTGCAAGATTATCGTTATTGTATTAGCCTGTATAGCAAGCATCTTCATCTTGCTAGTTCACAACTTTAAGTACTTTCTTAAATACTGTTTTGTAGACATAGATAAATGTGAAATACTATTTTAAACCATATGAAAGCTGTTGTTTGGAGGTGTGCCATTAACCCCCCGCACCAACATCCTTTACAGGCAGTCCCCGGGTTACGTACAAGATAGGGACTGTAGGTTTGTTCTTAAGTTGAATTTGTACGTAAGTCGGAACTGGCATCCAGATTCAGCCGCTGCTGAAACTGACCAGCGGCTGACTACAGGAAGCCCGAGGCAGAGTTTCTCTGCCCCGGGCTTCCTGGAATCAGCCGTGATCAGCGGCTGATTCCAGGAAGACCGGGGCAGAGCAACACTTGGGGACACCTGGGGCAGAGCAGCTGGGGTGCTGCTGGATTGGTCCAGTAGCGCCGCTCCTCAGTGCTACTGGACCAACCCGGCA